CCCCACCCCCGCCTGCTGAACTTCTTTTCCTCTGCCTGTAGACCCTCACAGCAGCCTGGTGCTCTGTGCTCCCCCTTTTCTGGCCCAGCTCCGGCCTCCAGCCCTGGAGCCTGCATCTGTGTTCCTGGAGCTGCCTCCCCAGGGCTCCGAGCACCCTGCAGGTAGAGCCCGAATCTGTCGGTCTTTCCCAGACCCCAGCCCAGGAATATCTGTTGGTCTTGCGCGTGCCACTCGGGGAGAAAACGGGGAAGTGAGGGGGTGTATGTGGGGAGGCAGGGGCTCCCACCTCTTGAAGCAGCTCCTCCAGGTAGGAAAAGCTAGGCCGGTCGGCGGGGTGGGGGGCCCAGCAGCGCAAGGCCAGGGCGTAGAGCGCCCTGGAGCAGAGGGGAGGCCGAGGCAGCCGGGCCTGGTCCTGCTCCAGCCACTGCAGGATGAGGTACGGCGGGACCCCGGCCCACGGCTCCTCGCCCCCGGAGAACATCTCCCACAGCGTCACCCCAAACATCCACACGTCCGACGCAGAAGAGAAGGCCCCCTGGCGCAGGCTCTCTGGCGCACACCTGCGGAAACGCAGCTGAACGGGGCGCCCGGGGCCCCCTCTCCCCCAGCGCGCGACTTCCGCGGCGCCGCCACCGTCCTTGGTGACCTCCTTCCGCAGCCCTTCCAGAATCCTCGTCCCGGCCTCCCTGGGGGGACCGGCGCGCCCGCCCCGCCCGGAGCCAGCCGGATGCCCTCGCGATCGGCCCCCCTCGGCCCCTCACCAGGCGTAGGGGATGGGGCGGGGCCCGCCCATGACGTAGCGGCCCCGGGCACCGCCCAGCGGCCGCACCAGCCCGAAGTCGGCCACCTTGATGGTGCGCGGGGAGGCCAGCAGCAGGTTGCGTGTGGCGAGGTCTCGGTGCACCAGCCCGCGGGCCTCCAGGTACGCCATGGCCCCCGCCAGCTGCCGCAGGAAGAGGCAGAGCAGGGCCACGGGCAGCGGGGGGGTCGGGGCCCGGGCGGTCAGGCGCGCGTGCAGGGAGCCCAGGGGCGCCAGCTCCATCACCTGCGGGAGCGCGGTGCCGCGTGAGCAGGGGTCCGCTCCCCCCACCCCCACCCCCGGCACGGGACTCTGCCCGCCCCCTCCTGTCGCGTCCCTGTCCTGGGAACCGCTGTCCTGGTCTGCTCACCATCTGCAGGGGTTGGCCCAGTACGAGGCCGTGCAGACGCAGCACGTGTGGGTGCTCCAAGTTCATCATGATGGACACCTCTCGAAGGAAGTCCCCCAGCTCTGTGCCCACGGGGCCTTCAGGACCCACCCGGAGGGATTTGACAGCCACTGGGACCTGGGGAGTGGGGGGAAAGGACGCTATCTGGCACCCAGAGCAGAGAGGGCGTGCAGGACCGAGGGGCAGTGAAAAGAAAAGAAAAGAAGAAAGGAAAGAAAGAAAGAAACCAGAGGGGCAGCTGGCCCCAGCACCCAGAATGAAGCAGGCTCCCCGGACTCACACTCTGGCCGCCAGGCAGTGTCCACAGCCCTCGGTGAACCACTCCAAAGCAGCCAGAGCCCAGCAGCTCCCCTCTGCACACAGCACCATCCGGGATCAGACACTTGAGTCCCCCCTCCGGCTCAGGGAGGGACAGGGGGCTGTTTGGAGCTGGGGTGGTCTCCTTCTGCTCAGGTGCAAAACCCCCAAGGATCTGAAGCAGGGGTGGGAAAGCAAGTGTGTAGAACCTTGTACCACTCCTCCCTGACAGTCAGCCCACCCCATTCCCGGGCCTAAGCTGGCCCTTTAAGTCTACCGCCCCCACCCCAAAATGCACACCTTGTAGACCCAGTTCTTTGACTTGAGCCCCGAACGGTGCTTCTTCAGAGCTTCGGCCAGTCTGCGCTGGGCTGGGGAAGGTCAGAATCAGGGGACATGGGTGGTACACGATGGGCAGTGGGGGCGGGGGGCGGTGCAGAAGACTTTACAGGCCAGAAGAGGGCTGGGGGGGGGGAAAGGGGGGGGTTAGAAAGTACCAGGCTGGGGAAGAAGAGACCAGGGGGGTCCCTTACCAGGCCGGCCCATGCCAATGCCGTCCAGGTCCTCGGGCCTGACAAAGTCGAAGTGCTCCGGCCGGGTAACATTAAGTTCCTCGAGGATGGGTCGGTAAAACTGGGCCAGCTGGATGTCCCGGAGCAGCCGAAGCAGCCACAGCGAACCCACCTCGGGGAGCATGTCTGCACAAGGAATCCCTGAGGATGACGCACCCACCTCAACACATAGCCCAGGGTAAGCTGCTGAGACACTGAGACAGCAGAAACGGGGTCTCCAGCTCCACTCCCCCCACCCATCAGACACACTCAGGTGCAGAGGGAGGGATGGATCAGCCAGCCAGGAATCCGGCCACTCACACAAACCCCAGGAAAAATGCTCCCCATACCTGAGACCTACATACAGTTCCCACCTCACACCTGAGATTTCAGGGCTCGGCAGACCTCAGGTATGTTCCTCTGCCAACTCTTGAGATAGGATGGCAGCCTGCCCCTGCACCCCCGGGGGCCACATACCTGCCGGCGATGCCCAGATATGCTAACCACACCACGCAGATGCACCCACACCCCACGCAGGTGCACTGCTTCCCACACTCGAAACACTGCTGCCCACACGCACTGAGACCTACAGACATGCTGCCAAAGAAGCCTGAGACACCCAGGCACCTGGCCTTTCAAGTCCGAGACGTTCCAGAACGCTGCCACGGAACACCCCGGCTTACTGCCGCATAACCTCTCACATACACCCAGGGGTGACATTGCAGGTCACTACCTCCGAGACATACCGCCCCACGTGTCTGAGCCATCAAGATCCACAGAATCACACAACACACGAGACACCCAGCTGCCGCGTGCACACACACCTGAACCATGCAGGCCTACTGCCCCTCAGCTCCGAGATGTCCAGGGTCACCGCCTTTTCGGCACCCGAGGCAGCAAGGCTTGAAAGGACACTGGGCATTTGTGATTGGTGGTCAGGTGCAGGCTGAGCTACGCTCGGGTACTGCCTACGGAGCGAGGTGCTGCCAGGTGCACAGTCCCTTCCACACCCACCTGCGCGCAGCTCCAGGTACAGGGGCCCTGCCCGCACACCTGAGTCACTCAGTCTAACTTGGTTTCCAGGCAACTCCACCAATCTTGGTTAACTCAGGCCGGGTGCCCTGGGCGCTGGCTGCCTGCACCACGCTCTCCCTTACACGCACCTGGACCCCTCCCTCCCCCCACTTTAGTTAAACCAGGAAGAAGGGCTGGACTAGGGACTGGGCGCGGGGAGGGAGGGAGGCCAGGATCCAGGGAGACCTGGGACCGCCTGCAAGGGGAGGTGGGGAAAGCACGCGAAGGGGGACCGGGAGGAAAGGCGGCCGCAGACGGGGAGGACCGGGGGAGGGGAGGGAGGGGAGGCGAACAGGGCACCCGCGGACGTACCCCAAGCGGCGGCTGCTCCGCCAGCCCCAGCCCCCGGCGTCCCCGCTCCGCAGGAGCCTCACCTGGCGAAGGCGGAAGCAGCGGCTGCGGAGCCAACCTGGCCGCCAGCACTAAATCCCGGGCGGGGC